CCACTAATTAAATTAATATGTTAGTAAACCTATTCCACATAAACATAATAAACAATTGTTATCATCAATTAATTCACGCTTTTCCAAACATAATTAGTGACACTGTAATACATGCAAATTAACATGAATTGTTGTAGAAATGAACTGTCGACGAATTAAACTGTCGACGAAATGAACTTTCGATGAAATGATTGTCGACAAAATGATTGTCGACGAAATGAACTTTTCGACGAAATGAACCTTCGACGAAATGAACCTTCGACGAAATGAACCTTCGACGAAATGATTGTCGATGAAATGATTGTCGACGAAATAATTGTCGATGAAGTGATTGTCGACGAAATGATTGTCGACGAAATAATTTTCGACGAAATGAATCAGACACATTTTTTCCCCGTATATTTTCTTTCAAAGTCTTCTTTTTTACAAATTAAACTATTACATTTCATAAAATCAAATTGTATTTATATACATATACGAGTTGTGTTGAATTGATGTTTTTTCGAATTTTTGTCTTTGACATCTTTAGTATCTTGTTTGAAGCAACATAAGTTGATCAATATTGGTACTTTTACATAGCACATAAGACAGGCTTTGTAAGTTTAATTTTGTTTTATCACTTTTAAATATTTAATGATGAAATTCTTTTATTATTGAATCACAATAAATCAATCACTAGAGTTTGAAGAAGAAGAAGTTGTTCTTTAAATAATGCAATTTTCAATTTACACCCTCTATCAATTAATCCTGTTAGAGAAAACTTAAAGGCAACTATAAAAGATGTTGTACGAAAAAAATTGTTTGTTACACATTATTCAGTTCTCTGCAAAGAAAAACATGATTTTAAACGAAAATGCAACAGAAAGTTTAGATTACCACTACGACGCGATGATGTTCTGGCGTCATAGCATTATAAAATAATGCGACTCAATCACATACATATATATTCGTTCGGAGCATCAAAATTAGCACTAGATGGGGCATCCTATTGTGTATTCATGATCAATGATGCATTCTTTAATAAAGATAGACTATATCATGGCCAGATGGTGCATTGATAGAGTGTAGTCTAATAAGTTATAACAAAAACATATAAATGGACCCGCTACCCACACTTGTGAATCAAAGAATCGATTACTTTTTACGTTGCATTTGAATTCGAGGGTCGAAGCACGTCGTTACATTCAAATGCGAGGATCTATATATTCATTTGGAGCATCAACATAAGCCGGTCATATTATTATTTTATTCGTTGCGTTGAGCAAAGAATTTATTTATTTAAAAAAAAATTACACATACAAAGGGAAATTATCCACGAATTTAATAAATTTAATAAAAGAGCCTTTGGAAAGAAGAATCCTCATGTGAATCAAAAGTTATTTACAAATTTCGACTGTTAAAAACATCAACTAAGCTTTTTTTCCCAATTAAAAAAAAAAAATCTTTTGTCCTGATCTTTTCTCGTATTTATTTATTTATCACAGATCAAAGGTCAATTGGATCGATTAGATTTTTTTACGTCTATCGCTATGGAAGAATAAACTTCATGTAAACACCAAAAGTCATTTACAAATTTTGATTGTTAAAAAAAAATCAATTAAACTTCTTTTTTTTAATTTTTAAAAAAAAAATCCTTTACAAAGATTAATCAATGGGATTTTATTTGTTTTCTACGAAAGGAATTAAAAACAAAAATTTTCCTATCCAGATCATCCACTATCTCAAATGATAGATAACGAACGATAGACATCACGCAAAAAACATCTAAAGCAAAAGACGGTTTTTTTTTCTGTCAAAGTATCTGCTTCGCTCAACCCTGATGTTTTGGACAAAAATAGATAAATTTTTCGGAGCCAAATAGATAAAAATGGGAATTCGCATGATAATTTATCACTTTTGGAAAACGAAAATATGTGCAGCAAAAAAAAGAAAAAACGGCTTGTTATAAAGTTTTACACCTTGATTTTGATCTCACCCTTCCCCAACAATTCAGTTGAGCAACAAAATCTTTAGGAGATTCGTGATTCGTTACCGTAACTGCACTGAATTTACCATTTAAAGTCTTAACGAGTCTTCTTTACAGCGAAATATTTCCCGTACAACCAACATTTCAAATTTGGTAAAATTAAAATCTACGACATTTCATTTAGAAAGAAACTGTAATAATAATAGTAAACACTTTTATATATGTTAAAAAGGAAATAACGTAACTGTTATTCTTAAAAAAAAAAAAAATCTCCACTCTTATTCATTAAAATACCAAAGTCAAATTTTATATTTTATATTTTATATAACTTAATTTCCAAGAGAATGCAAGATTGAAAATGCAGCTTCCATCACATCTTATTAAATGGGGTTTGAAAGTCCAAATAACCAAGACAGAGGAAACTTATCCAATAGAGAAGCTTTAACCAAGGAAAAAATAATCCAAACTAAATTTAGTAATAATAACTTGGAACAAGAAAGAAACACAGAAAGAAAAATGGAGTTGAAAATCAACTAAAAGGTGCATAATCAAATTGAAAGAACCTTTTCTATTTTGTAAGTTTTTGAACCAATTACTCATGTGAAGGCTATCAAAGGATAATATAATTGGAGCAAAAAATGATGGCTCACTTTGTTGTAACATGCACCAATTAATTAATTCTAAAATGTTTATTTCATTGAGTAGGGCTTTAACCCTTTTCTGAGTGGGGAATAAATAAATAAAATTATAATGTCAAAGAATTATTATTATTACGTGTTGCACATGATGCAAGCTTGGTTTCTAAAATAATTGACAGTACCAACCAACAAAGCATGCTAAACTTCATTCTCGCTGCCTAAAATATAATCAAACTTGAGAAATTTGAATTAGGCGATTGTAACAATTAATTAATAAAACTTAGATCATGTTATATATGATATATTATTTTTATATACTATTTATTATATTTCCATAATTCAAATGAAGTTTGTGGCTTTTTATTGGAAATTCTGAAAACTTCATATTCATCAATTGAAAACACTTTAGAATCTGTAATACTAGTGCAGTAATCATCTTTTTGTGCTGAACAACTACCACTCTCATTGAAACAACCTTTCATACACAAATCCTTGTCACCAAAACATGGACCATAATTATTACCATTAAATCTTATTGCATAAAATGAACGTTGATGTAACACTCTACTCAACCTGGCATCTTCTAATTTCCACCTATTACCAAATGAAAAAAGAAAACTATCCTCTGTGATTTTATAATCTATACTTGTTGTCCACATCATTGGATTATATCCACCTATAATCTCGCCAGTTTTACTAATTCTCATCACCACTAATGTTCTTGCTATATCATCACATTTCCTATGGAATGTCTCTGTGTCGAACCCGTCCTGTGTGCCTCTAAGCAACAATCGAAATTGATAAGGCATCTCCTCACAAGTGTAAGATTTTTGATCTAGTCTATCAATCCAACTTGATATCAATGCTATATGATTTGGTCTTAGTAATGATGAATCAAATTGAAATCGTTTTGCTTGAACAACCGGTAGTGGTGGAGACATTGGATTCAAGTGGTAAGTCATTATTTCTTCAAAAATCTTATCAGGTAATATATATCTAAATGGCCATATCTTATTATGAAAATCAGTCGAAGAAATTTGAGAGATGGTGATGAGAGGTATTAAATTGTTCAAAGTACTGGCTAACAAGTCAAAGTCTTTTTTTGCCCAATTATTGGTGGTGATGGTGGCGGTGGTGGTCATCATCACATTCACATTATTCGCATTACTATCATTGTTGTTGTTATGTAGTAATAAATATGGATTTTGTGCCAAACCCCATTTTAAAATATTATTCCATAATTCAATCTCTTCAATTTCTAAACCATCTAATTTTAAAAATTCGGATAATGTTTTTTCATCCATGCTTAAGAATTCAGTAGATGCAAATAGATACTTTATTGGATCTTTACAAATCAATTTTATACAATAATCTTGTAGTTTTACACATGATTCATACTTGTATATTTTTTCCCAGACTATGATTGAATTTTTTTCTAACCATGCAAACCCATTTACTAATAAATCATTTTGTATATATTCTGACAATTCTGTAAGTAATAATTCATCTGACGCGATCAATAAATCAAGTGCCTCCATAGTATCCAGAACTTCCATACATACGCTTCCACTATATATAAATCTGTTCAAAAAATTTTATCATTAATTAAAAAAAAATTATATACATATATTGTTTTGTTTTTTCCTCTTCCCCCTCTCTCTACCTTAATATAATCTCGAATATATTTGGTTTGATGTTTGGTTTAGAATAAATTAAAATGTTTCCATCTTTTCTAGCCCAATTTGATGATAAAGCTGTTCGAAAATAAGGTGATCTTGCTTTTAAAATAATTGAATGTGCATAAAATGTTTTAAAATCGGGTTTCTCTCCAACCTCGATCGAAACATTATACTCTTCTACATCTTCCAATAAGCCATTTATGTCATTTGCTAAAGTTGATACAAATTTAAATGTGTTTAATCTATTCATTTATCAAGTTTATTTTTTGCTTGGTTCGTTCGATTGAAAGTGAATTAAATGAATAATCAGAGATTGATTGTGTAGTACACAGTTTTTTTTTTAAGGCAAAAAACTCAGTGAACAATTGTTTTGGTTGTACAAAGTGCTACAATCCATATATATATATAACTTATTATTATTATTGAAATCATCTCGCTCGGCCTTTAGATTTAATTCAATTTGTTTTGCTTAATTTTTGTGAAGTTCCTTAATAGTATTTTCTAATTTCTGATTCAGTTTAGCAATACCATTCTCTAATTGTTGATTTTAATTCCTTTTATCTTATCATTTTTATTGTTTATATCTAGTTCATTGTCTAATTACTCTAAGATAACTTTGTGACTGCTGGTTAAATTCTTGATATTTTGGCTCTATTGATGATAATTAGAGTTGATTTTAATCTCTATTTCTCAAACTTTTTTCGACTTGTTGTTTAATCAAGATTACATTATTTTTCATTTTTTTCTTTAAGGCGGTTATTTGTTGGTTCTTTTTATCTAATCTTTCTTTATTCTATTTCTGCTATTCAACAAAATATAAATGAATTTGGACTTCCACTTCTAATACTTAGACTTCGTTTTTTAAATTAGCTATGGCTCTTGGAGCTTTTAGACCCTCTTGATAACAAATTCCAGAAATAATTGTTTACTCCAATAATTCAAAAATGGTCTATTTCATTTCTCCGCTAGATTCTACATCATTAAATAATTGTTAATCCCTACTTTCTAGTTATAATCATGTATTTTTCCGCAAAAATATCCGCAATCGCCAATCAATTACTAAATAAGGATAACACGCACTCAACCCACCAATAAAATTGGATATTTTCATGATGCTGCGCAAATTTGCGGATATTTTTGTGGAAAAATACATGATTTTTTTCTAGTTTATCGGCAAATTCTCTTTTATTATTATAAAAATAGCCAAGTACACTTTAAAAAAATTTTTTTCGGGGATTTTTCTTTCATATTCCAGTTCTTTTGAAACTCTGTTCTTTTTTTTTTTTTTAATTCCACACATTCACCACAAAAGCTTGACTCGTAAATTGAAAATTCATTATTTTCGTCATCATCGGTCTAGTCATTTGATATTTTCCAAAAATCATTTGAGCAAAAGTTTTTTGTCATAATTTTAAAAGAGGCAAAAGTCTCATCGGCTTTAATTAATACCTTATTCCAATCACAAATTACCTTTAATTTATGTACTTTTTGTTGGCTGACTTGTTTGAAGATAACTAACGTTGTTATTTGACATAAATTTTTTTTACAAATGATCAATGTTGTATTAAGATCATGCAGAAATTTTAAGGAAAAAAGCTACATAATGTCCTGACAAGTAAAATTTTTTTGACAGAGTTGCCCTTGATATGTTTGTTAAATTTTTAGTCTGTATCTCTTTTCCGTTTAGTACAAGGGTTTCATTGCCTTGTTATCCAAGTGATAATAGAAAATTTTTAGTGGTCAATTTTCTATTTGATTCCCTTCCCGATTGTATGCAAATGCAAATTGTAAAAACCATTTCTGAAAAAACTTGCACATGACCATGGAAGTAAATTCAAGTCTCTGCCTTATAAAAAATTTTGTAAGAAAATGTATGGTTCTTCCATACATTTTCTGCATATTCTATATGGAATTTATACATTAAAGTGTGCTTTTCCATACATATTTGCCCTGAAAATGTGCTGAAAATGTATACGTTTTCTGAAAAAAAATTTTACAGGGTAGCACTCATGTGATTATTGCTTTGTGTCATCCCGTGAAAGAAAATTGGTGCCTGCAACTGGTACAAAATTCTGCAACTTGGAAGGTTACTGCCTAGTTTGTGTTTTGTTGAGAGATACACCTATTCACAAAAAAAAACACCCATTTAAAAAATATGAATCCAGTTAATCAAAAAAAAAAAAATCAAAGAATTCATGAAAATAATTAAAATCCAAACTATTTTATGACCTTATAGGTCATTTTGCCAACAAAGTTGTAAATAATCATGCGGAATTTTAATCTATAGGACAGGGAACTAATCGGGCAAAAGCTCAGTCCTCTATTCAAAATTATAAATTGATTAGTATCAAAAAAAAAACAAAAAAAAATATGAAAATAATCAATTTAAAAACTTTCCTTTTAATATCAGAGCATAAATACAACTACAGAATCCTTAGCCCCTCCTTGAATTGCAAATTCCCTCCTCGAGCTCAAAATAAGTCACAGATTCTCATTGCTTTGATGAACCTATAACTTGGTTGCAGAGCCAGCATCTTTGCCCTAGAGGTAGGATCATTGCAGACAAATTTACAGCATTTCCTTGTTCAGGTGCTGTGAGGAGAGATTAGGATTCATACAAGCATCCTTGACAACAATAGTACAATCTTTTGATAAACTCCAAGGCTATGCATCACTCCCCTGGAATTTAGTTGCATAATTGTGTCATTGAGTGTAGCAGGTCAAATTAGCCTTGTATACACAAGGAACATGTGAGAATGACTGTAATTAAGGCTCCGAACGAATCAATGAAATTCGAACCGATTCGGACCGATTCGAATTCGAATCGAATCGAATCACTTAATTTTTGATTCGAATCAGTTCAAATCGAATTCGAATATATAATTCAATTCGAACGGATTCGAATTCGGATTGATTCGATTCGATTCGAACAGATTCGAATATATAATTTGATTCGAACGGAT